CGGTGCTGGCCACCTCGTTGACGCGCGCCGCTGCTCCGGGCTGCTATCTGGGCTGTCGTCGCTGAAAGACGAGTTCTTTGACGTGGCCCGCCCCAGTGCCTCGACGTCGGCCGCCCATGAGTGCGCGTCTATAACACCTGCGTTGAGATTGAATGAATCCGAGCCTGGGGCGGTCGAAAACCTGGGCGGGCAGTCCAAGCGCCTCGGAAGCAGGAGTGAGCCAGTCGTGCACGAACGGGGACATGGTCTCTGGGCCCGCGCGATGCGATTGCCTGAAGAGCTCGCCCAATCCTCCGAAAAGTCATTGGTGGAGGGTGCTTGGCACTCGACGAAGCTGCCGAAGCCTCATCGCCAAGCAGAGCAGCCGGTGCGTTCGCGGGCCCAACAATCTTTCACTCTGCCTGAGCAGACGATCCTGCTCGGGCCAAACCAAAGTGCATAACCAATCTTACGTGGACTTGGAACAACACTTCTGCTTTGAACCATTCGCCCTGGGAATCACTGAGAAGCCCCCCTTGCCAGGAGGACGCTCCGTCGCCCATTGCCGGAGCGCTCGGTGAACTGAATCCATGGGGCATGTGCGCAACAAGCTGGTTCCCTGTTCTATCGTCGCGGCGATGTGGACTGCCGTCTTGGCAAACGACTTCTCGTCCGATCCTGGCGCGAGGCCGAGTCGGTAGAGCCTGACAATCAGCTGCTTCATGCCAACAGCTGGGGGTTCTTGGCCACTGCGATGGTGCGATTCAACATGTTCGTCAAGGCTATTGCAGCGCAGCGCAGGGTACGTCACGTCTGCGGCACGTAGGTACTAATTCGTGTAGTAACTCTCCGGCGCGATTGTACTTTTCCAAAGGATAAGTCCGGCTAGGCGGCATCATACTCGGGACCACTTGACATTCGTGTCGGGCGACGTCGCCGAGGCAAACGGAGATGTGGGGAGAGATGATGTTGGCGGGATAGAGTGCTCGCATCTGCCATCCGCGCTGCTCGAGAGCTCTGTCACTAGGGAGAGACGTTGGTTTCCCGGCCAGGAGAGCCGGGGTGCCCCGCGCGGGGGCCTCAGCTCATCCCGAGCCGAGTCCCGACCGCTGCTCAGTCTCCTGGCTGAAGGGGGAGCGGCCGGCGACGCGCCCTCCGTCTACGTCTCCGCGTGGGCAGCTCGGGCGCGCAGCAAAACACTGCGGTCGGGAACGCCACCGGCAGCTTGCACAGCCCTCTCGAAGTCGTCGATGACCATCGCGAGGCGCCCGCCTCGGCGCCTTCTGCAGCGGGGTGCGAACTGCACCTGCGGGCCACTAGATCTGCACGTCGCCGCCGCTGGGCAAGATCATATCGCGTTGGCCCGTGCCCAGGATCGCGAAATCCACCCCACGATTTGCGGGCCGAATAGGCCAGGCAGGTCGCCGGCCGATCCTCTGTCAATTGGTGCTGAAGCTGCGGGTGGTAGCATTGCCTTGTTCAACCGTGGCGGCGATTAGGGTGCTCACCTGCCGGGTGCACTCTTGGGCCCCGTTGCCAGCACCTTGGATGCTTTCGCATGATGAGCTGATGCGGCGAGCGATCTGCCTCCACGGCTCGGCGGCATAGCTGGCGCGCAAGAGTCCCACCTACGAGGTTGGCCCATGCGCCTGGGTCCACGATTGCACTGAGGTCACCCGAAGGAAGCTGCGTGCGACTGTGAAACATCTCAGTAGCGCGCTCGTTTGCTGGGCCAGTGGCGGCCCGCCAGGCTAACGCGTCGGCCCCGCCGCCGCGCGGTGGGCCTTGCGGCGACGGCTGCCCCCAGGTGGATGCAGGAGCGTTGATGGCGATCTCGCCGATCGGCGCGCCTCGCAGCGTGATCAGGACACATTTGAGCGCCGGGGTACCCGACCCCATCGGGCGCCCCACGGGGCGCGGTGTCGATCCAGATGTGCGCGACCTCGCGCGCGACCAGACGTTGCCTACACGTCGGGCATTGTGAGCACGGTGCTCGGGCCAGGTCGCCGCGGCGCGCCGCGGAAACCCAGACGTCGTCGCAGCTCCGAACGGACGCGATGGCCACACATAAGAATTGCAGCAAAATTTACGTTGCTGTCAAAACAGATGCCGCACATTTCATCAGTGCCAACTTCAACCCCAGTGGGCTCTGACTTTGCGCGTAGATCCGCCGGTAGCAGCGGCGATTCGACGGTCGGGGGTCCAGCCGCGACCATGTCGATCATCTGTTGGGCGCGCTCACGGTGGCGGGCACGCCGCTGTTCCATCTGAGCGTCGCGGACGGCCTTCAATCTGGTCAGCGAAGACAACGGGATGGGGATCTCGAGACCCAAGGCACGTACGACGCTGATCGTGATGGCCGCGGTGGGCACTTCTGCTAGGTGCTCATATCCGCGGCGTTGTCTGTCTAGCAGGGCAGCTCGGGCTCGCTGACCCGGTCGCAGGCGCGCGAGGTGGCTGAAATCACGGATGCGAAGAGTGGCGACTCGCCGATCACCGGAAACCGCGAGTTGGACTTTCCGAAGGACGGTAACACATGCACTGTACTGCCGGTCGATATGGCTCATCTCGCAGGGGGCCCCAGGGAACCGCAGTCCTCCGCGGTGCGATGCCGGAAGGACGAGTCGGCTGCTGCCGCCGGCTCCAAGGCGGCGGCCGCGCAGAAGAGAGGCGGCAACGCCAGTGGAAGTTGGGGCGGTGCAGAAGCCGGCGCTGCTGTTGAATATCTGCGGCGGCGGCAGGACAACTGGCGCGCCGGCGCACGCGCGGCTCTAGACCGCAGCGAGCGAGGCGGCTGACCACGAGCCGTGGACTGACCCAAGCATATGCGAGGAGCCGTCGGCTGACGGCTGCGCTGGCCAGCGGCGACCCCTCCTACGTGAGAGAGGTGGAAGAGGAGGAGGACGACGAGGAGGAAGAGGAGGAAGGAGAGGAGGAGGAGGAGGAGGTGGAGAAGAGCGAACGCGGCCCTGCAGGGGCGCCCGACGGGCCCAGCACGCCCGCGAGCGCGGGGCGGACGGGGCGGCGCAGCACCCGATGCTCATCTCGTGGGAGGCATGGAAATCGGAGGTGGGGAAGTCGCTGCTCTCGGGGCCACTGGTGGCGAAGAGCTCGGGGAGTATCTCCATGTCCGCTCGGGGCCAGTCCGACGCGGCGGGAGCCGCCATTGATCTCGCCGACGCACATTGCGGCGTCGATGGGGCCCCCCAGCGATCCGCAGCCGAACGAGCCCTGAACCCCGATCATGTTCTGCGAGCGGTCATGCGGGAAGTCCAGCAAGTCGTCGCGCAGTGGATCTGCGCGTCGATCGACAGCAGGTCGTCAGAGACGATTGCGCGGTCGAGCGCAGGCTCCGCATTCACAGTCCTGGCGAGGGCAGATTCCTGGCGCTCGCTTGCAATGGCGCCGAACTCGGAAACCACGCGGGAGGCAGCAGCGATGACGGAGTGCAGGCTGTTCTTGTCGAGCGGGAACCCTCTCTCCAGCGATTCGCTGTCGGCCGAGTCCTGAACTCCGAACATGTCCAGCGAGCCGCCACGCGGGAAATTCATCAGGTCGTCGCGCTGAAACTGAAAGCTGATCGGCATCAGGTCGCCGGGGTCGGTGGCTCACTTGAGCGCGGGCTCGGCGTTCACAGGCGCGGCAGTGGCAGAGCCCTTGCGCTTGTCAGCGACGACGTCGAACTCGAATCTCATTTTGTAGGCAGCAGCGATGATGGGGCGCAAACCACGCTCGTCGGACGGGAGCCTCCTGTGGTCGACACTCTGCGTCCGGGTGCCACTCAGCTCTGAGTCGGCGGAGGCGGGCGCGCTGAGCAGCGCGGCGTCGGCGACCGCGCTGAGTAGCGCGGCGTCGGCGACCGCAGGCGCGGCAGAGTCAGGAACCAGATGCGCGTCGGGCGAAGTGTTCACGGCAAGGTCCGCCGTCGCCGCGATCTGCGGCCACTCGAGGGGGTCGCCATGGTACTTATTGATGGTGGAAGTGAGCGCGTTCATCAGTGCGACACGCTTCGGCGGCTACTGCAGCTGGTCCACGACGCCGCTGAACTGGGGCTCGGCCGCGGCGACGGTCGTGGACACGCCCTGCTTGAACTCTACGTTGTGGTCGCTGACCTGCCAGAAGGGGGCCATCGCGGGCACGTTTGCCTTTTCCCTCGTTGCTTTCGCTTGGAGCGAGCGCGGACCCCAGCTTCTCGAGACCCGACCGCAACTTAGCCACGGCAGAAAACGATTGGGAAACAGCGTCGGCGCGAGGAAGACCACCTCCAGAGCCAACCGCCAGCACGGACTTGCCAGCAGGTATGCCCTTCTGCGCCGCGTTCTGCATGGTACTGTAAGAACGTGGATGCGCGGGCGTCCGAAACTCCGAGGAGGTTACGTTGCCCAGAGCACGAACAGCAGGCTGAGCAGGAGCTTGAGTCGCCTTTGGGCTTGAACTTCACTGTGGAGGTGCAGGCCTTGTGCGAGCTGGCGTTGCGGTTCTTGGCGATGTCCCGCATGAGATGGCACTCATGCGGGGAGAAGCGGCCAGACTCAGAAGCGTCCTCGACAATGTCTGAGTGTGAGTCCCGACGTGGGAGCTGATGATGAACTTCGAAGTCGTCATGAAGGCAGAGACCACAAGCAGCGTGTTGCGCACGTCTCTCGAGAGCTGGGTGGTCTTGTCCCTTGACGTGGCCAAGCCCGACCACGTCGCGAAGAGCGACAGCAAATATGATGGCCATGGCGTAGACCGAGGTGTTGCCCACGGACAAACCACGTTCGAGGCCCATGACACGCAGGGCAGCGAGGAGAGGATCACCCATCGAGGTGGACATGGATATAAAGAAAACTCGCAGCCGGCTACCTTGAGCAAAAATGGTTACGGAGGAGGAGGAAGAGGAGGAGGAGGAGGAGCGGGAGTGAGGTGAGGAAGCGCGGCGCTGCGGATTCAAAATGAGGACCCAACACCACAGGATGGCTGGGAACGCCCGGAAACGCTAGCGAACCCGACGAGAACACACCCGAAGACGCCCTTTGAGCCTCGTGGGGCGACTGGCGCTTCTCGCTATCGCACATGAACTGCAAGCTGCGCCAGTCCCTGTCCTTGAAGCCGGCGTTGTCGTAGAAGAGGATGGCCTCAGGCCGGGCATGTCCTCCTACAGGCGAACCTCCAAAGGAGACTTTAAAGTTGTCACAACAAACGCAAACATAGTCAGAAGAGGACCAACAAAAAACATCATTCGAGTAAGTTTGAAACTATTCTTCCTGCAATGGGACATGCCCGACTTACGAATGGCCTCTCCCTGCAGCGCCACGCGCGGGGCCACGGGCGGCCGGAGCGACACCGCCGCGTGCTGGCGCAGGTCGAGCATTGCGCAGAACTTCGTCGCCCTGCCGGTATCGTCCGCATTCTGCAGGGCCTCACTGGCGGCACGCATGGACCCTCCTCCTCCTCCTCTTCCTCCTCCTCCTCCTTCTCCTCCTCCTCCTTCCCCTCCTCCTCCTCATCCTCGCCCTCTCTTCCTCCTCCTCCTCCTCCTCCTCCTCCTCCTCCTCCTCCTCCTCCTCCACCTTCCTCGTCTCCTCGCCCTCCTCTCCACCCTCCCTCCTCCTCCTCCTCCTCACTCCTCCTCCTCCTCCTCCCCCCACTCCCCCCCCCCCTCCCCCGTCCCCACCCCCTCCCCCTCCCCCTCGCCCCTCCCCCTCCTCCCCTCCTCCGCCTCCTCCTCCTACCAGCGACCTCCTCCTCCTCCTCCTCCTCCTCTCTCCTCCTCCTCCACCTCCTTCTCCTCCTCCTCCTCCTCTTCACTCCTCCTCCTCCTCCTCCCCTCCTCCTCCTCCTCCACCTCCTCCTCACTCCTCCCCTCCTCCTCCTCCTCCTCCTCCTCCTCCTCCTCTCCTCTTCCTCTCCACCTCCCTCCTCCTCTCCTCCTCCTCCTCCTCCTCCTCCTCCTCCTCCTCCTACCTCCTCCTCCTCTTCCTCCTCCCTCCTCCCGTCCTCCCTCCTCCCCCTCCATCCTCCCCTCCCATCCTCCCGTCCTCCCTCCTCCCTCACCCTCCTCCCTCATCCCTCCTCCCTCCCTCCTCCCCTCCCTCCCTCCCTCCCTCCCTCCCTTCCCTTCCTCCTCCTCCTCCTCCTCCCCTCCTCCTCCTCCTCCTCCTCCACCTCCTCCTCCTCCTCCATCACTCCTCCTCCTCCTCCCCCTCTCATCCCCCTCCTCCTCCTCCCCTCCTCTCCTCCTCCTCCCCTCCTCCCCTCCTCCTCTTCCTCCTCCTCCACCTCCCCTCCCCCCCTGCTCCTCCTACATCCTCCTCCTCCTCCTCCTCCACCACACCAACACCACCTCCTCCTCCTCTCCTCCTCCTCCTCCTCCTCCTCCTCCTCCTCCTCCTCCTCTTCCTCCTCCTTCTCCCCGAGAGGGGAGGGGGGGGGTCTGGCTCTGGACATCTACTTGATGCGAACGTTTGCAGCAGTGCGCCCCATGGGGGAGAGACCCCACCTGCTCAAAACAGGCGACAACAACAGCCAAGATCTGCTCCGTGGGGGGGAGGAGGGAGGGTGCGAGGGCCCGCGCCGATCAACAAAACAATGAACAAGAAAACGATCACCATGGGCACGGGTCTCCGACGGTGTGGCTGTTTCAATATGGGTGGTTGTCCTCGATCTCGGCCTCTGGGGGAAGTGGTCGGGCAATATTTCTTGCTGCACGGACTTGTGCCCGTGAGTACCTCGCCCCCCGGCTGCCCCGTGGAGCAACAAGGGCCTCGGACCTACGATCGTGCAAGGAAAAGCGGGCTTTTGCCCGAGATGTGTTGGGAAGTGGTCGGGCCTTCTGGGACCGCGCACCGGGAAAGGTATGTCCTCGGCTGCCTGAAGCGGGGCGTTCGGGCGTGGACGGAGGAGGGCCTCCAGAGAGGGCGGGGGTGACCCTCGGAGGGGCTCGGAGGCTGCTGGGACGCCCCAGTGTCCTCTCGAAAGCCGCCCCCCTCGCGCCAGCCCCCCCTGGCCAGAGGAGGAGGAGGAGGAGGAGGAGGAGGAGGAGGAGGAGGAGGAGGAGGAGGAGGGGGAGGAGGTGCTCTCGTCGCTCACGACGCGGAGCTCCTGAAGCCCCAGGGGTCCCCTCCCCGGGGCGGGCTGCCCGTCCTGAGGCGTCTGCGTCGGCCGCTCCAGTCCTGGCAGAGGGCGCCTGGAGCCTGCAACGACGAAGACACCCCACACACACACACAGTCTTGAGCTCAACTCGTTCCGGGTCTGGCGCCCCAGGCCCCCGACGTCGGCGGTTGTTCGCAGCCTCGACCCCCCGAGGTCTCGACCCGTCCCCCGAGGCCGGAGGTCTCGACCCGTTCCCCGGAGCCGGTGCTTCATCCCGAGACTCGTCTCAGGGCCCCCGGAGACTGGAAGCGCGCAAAGCCTGGCCGCCTCTGTGACGCCACGGCGCGAGGGGGTCTGGCTCCTGCTGGGCAGGGACCGACCGTCCCGGCATTCCTGCAGGCCTACCACGACATGATCTTAGAATACAAAAGTGTTCCAAGAATGAA